GATCTGACAACCATTAATGTACCAGCTGTAGTCACCCACCCAGAAGGTAATCATTTTAACTCATCTGCCAAGCTCATATGTGCCATGAGTCATGATTAAAGAACTGTCTTGAAAGCTTCAGTAACAAGGAACAAATTGTGCATTGCCAGCCCTAGTGGTTGCCCACCTGGTTTCCACCTCCCACACCACTTAGGGGTCTTTTAAAAAGAATAATTTTCAGACCTACACACTCACCACATAGCCAAGATAGCAGACAATATGAACATCTGCATTAAAGAGGAACACCTTCACCCTCACTGCTATTGAGAGTCCCCACTGGAGGTGTGTTCAGTGCCTCCTTGTTCAGAGCTTCCTTTTCCAGGCCTGATCCACTTTCGTTATATGTGGCTAATGTAAAACTGATACCCATTGCCTTGGCAACACGTCCATGTGCTAAAAAAGGAAACAAAACCTGAGGTTTATTTTAAATTTTCTATCTGCCAGAAATACTAATTTAAGAAATACTTTTTAAAAGCAATAGAAAATAATGCCTATAAATAGTAACAGGAAAATAGTTCGTGAGAGAAGACATTCATGAAAATGTATTAAGAGCTTATCTTTTAAATATGAATCAAAGAGTTTTGATGCTGTTCATGTTATTTAAAGTTCTCCATTAAAATAATATTTCCACTATAATTTATACTATATTTAGTCTTTTAGGAACTTCCTGAATGTTTTGCATATTGAAATTTCCCATAATGGAATTTATATATGGCTAAAGCAGTGGTTCTCAACCTTCCTAATGCCACAACCCTTTAATACAGTTCCTCATGTTGTGGTGACCCCCAATCATAAAATTATTTTCATTGCTACTTCATAACTGTAATTTTGCTACTGTTATGAATTGTAATATAAATACCTGATATGCAGGATGTATTTTCCTTGTTACAAATTGAACATAATTAAAGCATAGTGATTAATCACAAAAACAATATGTAATTATATATGTGTTTTCCGATGGTCCCTGTGAAAGGGTTGTTCGACCCCCAAAGGGGTCGTGACCCACAGGTTGAGAACCGCTGGGCTAAAGGAAGTAAAATTACTCTGAGGAAGCCCTAACTGTAGATTTGAAAACAACAAAAGATCAGTGCTTTAAAGGTGGAGTGTGTAAATGAAAGAAAAATGCAAGTGTAAAGTTCAAGAATTTCTGATTCATTATTTTAAGTTCCCAGCAGAAGGAACTGTAGCCTCATAATTAAGTTATCTGTTATTTATGTTCCACTTGTACATTCCTGTGGTTCAAACTTTTTATTTTGTTTTATCAAATTCGGTTGGTAAATGAAAAATCCTATCTAATAAGGAGGGAATATGCTAATTGACCCTCACACTGTCACAAAGATGGTGGAGCCCACAGCCAATAAGGAGGGAATACGCTAATTGACTGCCACGTCCTCAAATATGGCAGCGCCCACAGACACAAGATGTCTGGCAGGGGAGGGCAGTTGGGGGCAACCATGCTGGCAGGGGAGGGTAGTTAGGGATGACCGGGCTGGCAGGGCAGGGCAGTTGGGGATGACCAAGCCTGCAGGGAAGGGTAATTAGGGGTGACTGGGCCAGCAGGGGAGGGCAGTTGGGGGTGATCGGGCCAGCAGGGGAGGACAATTGGGGGCAATTAGGCCAGCAGGGGAGCAGTTAAGCGTCAATCAGGCTGGCAGGGGAGTGGTTAGGGGGTGATCAGGGTGGCAGGCAGAGCGGTTAGGGACAATCAGGCAGGCAGGCAGGTGAGCAGTTGGGAGCCAGCAGTCCTGGATTGTGGAATTGGGCCTAAACCGGCAGTCGGACATCTCCCAAGGGGTCTCAGATTGGAGAGGGTGCAGGCTGGACTGAGGGACACCCCCCACCCAGCACAAATTTTGTGCACTGGGCTTATAGTAAAAGAAATAAAAGAGTTTTCAAAACTGGGCCTAAATATTAAAAAGTAGCAGATTGTAGAGCAGCCAAACACCACAAAAGTACTCAGAGCATTTTACTTCCACACTTCAATCTGTTGACTGGAAGCTACTGTCTGCTATTATCTCAGGGCTTGCTCACAATTTAGGAAGCTGGCTAGGCAGTTTTCCCAGGAAACAGAGTAGGGCCTGCATTTGTTGGAATAGAAGCATAGCTAGACTACGTTTTGGGGCACAATGCCAGTCTGCATACTTCCTCACCTGGTAATTAACAGTTGCTATTACAACAGGATTCTTATCTCCAAAGGGAGCCATTTAATGAGTTTATATTATTTTCAAAAGGATTATTTTCTTGAATTATTGAATTCTGAAACTATTTAAAATTTATGTCAGTATAATTTTTTATTTATAGGGATTATTACATAACTATTAATTGAATACCTAGAGTACATAGGATATCTATCTGACTTTTTAAAAAATAAGTTACAGGCCCTGACTGGGTAGCTCAGTTGGTTAGAATGTCATCCCATACATCAAGGTTTTGGGTTCCATCCCCAGTCAGGGCACATACAAGAATCAACCAATGAATGCATAAATAAGTGGAACAACAAGTTTATGTTTCTCTCTCACATGCATTTTCTCTAAAATCAATAAATTACCAAAAAAATAAACAAAAGAGTATGAAAGCCTAAATAAGTACTATGAACAGTTGTTGTAGTAATTATGTACAATGTAATAAATAAACTAAGTGCTTTTATGCATCATTCATTCATTCAACATATACCTATTATCTACTATGTGCACTGTTCCAGGAAGTGGAGATCAACAGTGAACAAAACAAAACCCCTGCTTTCATGGAGCTTATTCTACTGTAAGGAAACAATAATTAAATAACCAAAGCATAAAGCACGTGTAATGAAAATAAGAGCTATGGAAAATGTGTATTTGAATAAGCGTCTCATTCAAATGATAAGTTGACATGAGCAGAGACCAAAGGAAGGAAAAAAATCCAAAATTGGATCTCAGGGCGATGTCTGTTAAAGATCATTGAACAATTATTTATTGAGGATTTCTTGTAACCACTTACCATTCAATCCTTACAGCAGCACTTCATGGTAGGTGTCTTATTGCTCCCATTTTGCAGGTAAGAGAACTGAGGCTTAAAAATGTAAGGAAACTTTCTTAAAGCCACACTACTTATAAAGGACAAGCTAAGATTTAACCCATATCTGCCTCAGTCACAAGCTGTGCTTTTGACCATCTTCCTTCTGTCAAATCACCCAACCCCCTGATTGTCCCGCGGCTCTGTGTGTGACCGGGTATGGCACCCCAACACCCCCCCCATCCCTGCCCTGAGTGTGACAGTGGCGGCACCCCAACCCCCTGATCCGCCTGCTCTGTGTGTGACAGGGTATGGAGCCCCAACCCCCCTGATGGGCCCTGCTCTGTGCATGATAGGGGGCAGCGCCCCAACCCCCTGATTGGCCCTGCTCTGTGAGTGACAGGGGGTGGCGCCGCAACCTCCCTATTGACCCTGCTTTGAGTGTGACACGAGACGGTGCCCCAACCCCCCAATCGGCCCTACCCTGAGCGTGACTAGGGGTGGCATCTCAACCTCTCGATCTGCCCTGCTCTGTGCATGACAGGGGGCGGCGCCCCAACTCCCCAATCGGCCCTGCTCTGAGCCCGACCAGGGGCTGCACCTAGGGATTGGGCCTGCCCTCTGCCACCTGGGAGCAGGCCTAAGCCAGCAGGGCGTTATCTCCCGAGGGGTCCCAGACTGCAAGAGGGCACAGGCCGGGCTGAGGGACCCCCTCTCCTCCCCGAGTGACCAAATTTTTGTGCACCGGGCCTCTAGTATAAAGATAAAATGGCATGCATAGGAAAGTGGGGAAGGGGAAAGCTGTGCTCTCTAGCCACCCCAGATCTGAGTGGAGCTTTACAGTAGTTGAGTGGCTGAGGAAAAGCAAACATCTTCCCAAGCAATCAAAGGAAGACTATCCGACTTAATACCTGGGATAGATGTTTTTCTTTCTGCCTCTCAAGGCCAAAGAGGAAAATCAGGATGAGTGGCTTTGGTTGTAAACTTTAAGGTCAAGGACCCTTTCTGTTGACCTTAGCTTTCAAGTTCTCAGTAGTCAAGTATGTGTGAAACATATTTAATAGCGGGATAAATACAAGTTGTGGAAGATGAGATTGAAAGTCAGAGGTCCCTTCCATGGGCCCCCTACAGAGCCTGTCGTAAAGATCACGTAATCAACATTAGCAGGGCTGTTAAAAAGTATCACCTATTAGAAGTGTGCTCTTCCCTAGCGCCTCTAGCTGGAGTTTCTCTGTGTGGGTGTGTTCCTCGGAGAGGAGTCGTGTGCAGAGAGTGTACTGGGTACAATGTGTATTTATTTGTAAGAGGAAACAGAAGATCTCAATGAGGAAGAACATATGTTTCTGAGACTGCATCTGTGCAAAAAGTACATAATCCCTGAAGTTGTACTAAGGGAAAAAAACAACTACCGGATTATAAAAAACCAAAATCTTTTATTCACGCATGTCCTCTTGGCACAGTTCCCTCCTCCTGCTTTTTCTGCCTGACCAAATAATTCTTTCTCACCCTCAGGTCCAGGAAAACCACGAAATGTTTCGAACAGTCTGGCATAGCCTGACTCGCCAGGTTAGTAATCACGTGGGGATCCCAGAGGCAAACCTTAGCCCTAGAAGAGACGTGACTCTTCAGGGATCACCTGCCCGGGGCGCTGCGCAATGGAGCTGAAATCATCCTTTGAGGGCTGGGCAGAGGCCCAGCAAGGAAACGAAAGTTGGGCGCGGCCCTGGCAGGTAGCAGCCTAGGTGATCTGGAGCGTGCGCGACCACCAGGTGTCCCACTCGCCAGGTGTCCCGGCTGGCCGCCGGCTCCGCCCCGCCCCCGGGCTCAGTGCGCCTGTCTGGCGGGAGCCGCGCCCCCTCGCCCTGGGAGGTTGGGCTCCAGGGCTCCCTTGGCCTTGGTCCCCTCCGGCCGCCCACCGGCGCTGGGGGCGGGGCCGGGGCGGCGGGGCGGGGCCAGGGCGGCGGGGTGGGGCTCGCACCAATGCCCCCGGCTCGTCGGCAGCTGCTTCACCCGCAGATCTCGCAGCAGGCGAGCGGCTCGGTCCCCTCCCGCGGCCCCATGGCAGCCCCCGGCTCCCCCGCGGAATGCGGCTACATCCGGACGGTCCTGGGCCAGCAGATCCTGGGGCAGCTGGACAGCTCCAGCCTGGCTCTGCCCTCCGAGGCCAAGCTGAAGCTGGCGGGGAGCAGCGGCCGCGGCGGCCAGGCGGCCAAGAGCCTGCGGATCCAGGAGCAGGTGCAGCAGACCCTGGCCCGGAAGGGCCGCAGCTTCGTGGGCAACGGTGAGTGGAGCCCGCCACCCCGCTGCATCGCCCGACCCTCCTCCTTCTCCCCCTTTCCCCCTCACCCCGTTGCTTCGACTCCCTGCTTCCTGAGGGTGCGGGACCTGGTATCCTGCCCACCTGTTGCTCGCGGTCCCTTTGTACGAGCCGCCGCGCCTCGCGACCCAGACCGGCTTGCTTGGGGAAAGCAGTGTTTTCTAAAATAACCTCCCACTCAGCTTTGTCCTGTGTGTATCAACGTATATTAAATGCACGTCTATATCTATGTGAAAGAATTCAGTCTTAAGATTTTTACTCCTTCCTTAACCGGCTCCCCTCGCCGTCCTCCTCCCGCCCCGTCCCCCCCCCCCTCCCCCCAGGGGTCTTAATGGGGAGGCTCCGGGAGTCTGTAAACACTTTGAAATGCTGTGCGAATGCAGAAAGTCGATAGGATCATTTTCCTAGGGGAAAGCGCCCCTCGGTTTTATTAGTTTTTTTAAAGAGTCTAAGGCCCCATTGAATATTTTGAAAAAGAAAACCTGAAAGTACTGGCTCTCCTACAAACTGTAAATTGGGATGGCGGTGCCTCGCCCAGGTACTTCGGGGCGCTCCACCCAGTGTACTGCGCCAGTGGTTGATCTAGGAAGTGAAAAAATTGGGAAGCAGGCTTTGGGCTAGGAACAGTCAGTGCCCCGCGGGGGGAGGAGGGGGACTTTGGCCGGGCCAGCCGCAGCACCCACACCCACACCCCCTCAGAGGCGAAAGGGGTTTTTACAAAGTAAAACACTGTATCAGTAATTGATAGTCGGGGGAGAGGGAAGGTGAAGAAGATGGCAAACTAGTTCTACAAATTAGAAAACAGGAAATATTTTCTCCCCTGCTAAAATCAGATGATTGAAGCTACACAGTCCCATTTTTATTAGTTTTTATTTTTCATTATAAAAGTATTGAAGGGTTATAGAAAAGAGAATAGGAAAGAAATTGAACAATTAATTAAGTTGGGATATCAGTTTGTTTCCTGCAATGTTGAACTGTTTCTCTAGGAAATAATTCGGCAATGGCAAATGGAGAGCACATTAGGAAAAAGAAAAACGCTTGCAGGTCGGACTAGAAATTTAAAATAGCAGACCCTGGGAGGCCATATAGTTTTCAATTCGTGTGAAAGAATCCTAAAGGATCAGGCAGTCAATATTTACATATTTGAAAGGCAAACAGTTGTTTGATGATTATAGTTAATGTAACTGAGTGCCTACTATGTGTCGGGAATTGGACTACATGGTTCATGTTCATTGTGTTATTTATGCCCCCCACTCCCCCAAAAAGAAAATCTGTTAGGTCAGCCCTCTAATCCCCATTGTACAGATGAAGACACTAAGCAGTTAGCTAAGACTCAGGTTCCCACAGATAGTAAGTAGCAGAACTGATATTTAAACTTCCAAGCCTGAATTTTTAAACTACTCATCAGTTATATTAAGCTTTTTGGTTATTAATACTAAGTAGGATCTTTATCAGACACCAAGTTCCCTCCCATTTTTTCCATAAATAAAATTGAGGCGGTTCTGAGAGAGTGGAAGGTGTAGATAACACAGAATTGCCACAGTGCATGGAAAAAAACCTAAATTTATGTTAAGGAGGCTGACTAATGGCTTCAGGATAGCTGAGGTCAGTTGTTGACCAATGGAGTCACTGCACCCCTTTATTCTGTGCAGGTCCAGTGCTACACTGGAACCAAACTAGCTTCTGCTTGGAGACACAGGGATGTACATTAGATCGTCTTCCGTACCCTCTGAGAGTGGCTAGCCAGAAATAACAGGACGTCAGCTATGCAATAAATCTGAGGAACAGAAGGAAAGGGAGCATTGCTGAGCATCTAGTATGTGCCTAACCCTATTTAAAAATATGTTTGCATTTTACTATATCCTTAAAACAATTATATGAGATAGATATGAGGAGTCATTTCACATATGTAGAATGTGTAGGTCTCTCCACATTTATTGGACGCTTAGTCTCAAAGCCACACATGATCTGTCTGTACTCTCTACAGCATGATGAATTCATGTTGTTTTGTGAATTCAAGAACTATGTTCTTCATGAAGGGCATTGAATTAAACATAGACTCTGCTTGCTTTAAAGCAAGGAGTTTAAGGTCTGAAGAAGGAAACCTACCTCTAAAAAAAAAATGTATCAAATAAAACATGGTAAGTGACAGTAAAAAAGAACAGCTGGTACGTTATGGAGTTTAGAAGGATGAATTAGACCACTGACTGAAGGAACTTTGAGGAGCTGCTTGGAGGAATTGGGATTTTAGATCCCTCAAGATTCAGTGGGATTGGACATAGAGAGGTTGCTGGAGAGAACATTTTAGGCGGGAATAGCAGGAATGTGTCATAGTTCACAGAATTGATATGGTAGAGCAAAGTGCACTGTCATGATACTTCTGCTCTAATGCTAAGGGCAACTGGCTGAGTGGCTCTTCAAACTAAGGAACAAAGTGTTTGAAATATTTTGTTTGCAACGGGAGCTTCCCAGCAAGCTGAAATGCACTCAGCAGCCTACACAGAAATGCAAGTCAGGCAGAGAGATAAGGCAGCAAACACCTACTTACTTTAAAGCCTCAGCTTTCTGAGACTCAAAGAAGTAATCCACTTGAAAGGAATTTAACATGAACGTGCCATGAACAATTACCAGAGGTGGTTCAAGTATGTTGTTTAATCCAAGTTCTTTGAAAAGGTCTGGGGGCTCTTGATGGTTGTGAGTATTGCATTTATTATTTCCGTATTACTGTCATGTCTCTACAGTTGAAACAGACAAGCAATTGTTGAAACAGTGCTGGTCTGGAAAGAATCCTGTATCAACACAAGAAATTCTGGGAAGAAGTGACCCTGGTGTTGACTGTTTTTAGTTCCTTGGGCCCTGGAGAATTCTGAATTGTTGACATACCTGTAAGATTGAGGCAGCAGATAATCTGCTGAAAAACATGAGCTCTATGGGGCTGATCTGTTGATAAATACCCTGCAAGGATCTTTAACCCCGCCAGTTTCTCTCTAGTGCCTTAATATTGGTGGGTGGTTTTCATTGTAAATCATTCTAACTCGTGTTGTTATTGTAAACTGTGCTGAACACTTTTAAAGTTAGCTGTAACTCATGGGGGTGGAGGCAGAGTGGCAGAGGTGTACAGCAGCATTGTGAAATGAGTCTGTATTGTAGGGAGTTTTTAAAATTCTTTTATAAAAGTCACAGAGAAGACATTTAAGGACTGCAAGTATTAGCAAAGGGAAAAATTTTAAATGTCCATAATCCTAGTTATTACACTTTGGGAATACTACCACTTTACATATTACACTGTCCCCCCATGGGTGCCCATGTAGGAAGAAAGTCATGTTTTAAAGTGTTGTCTGTAATACTTATAAAACACAATGAACAACAGTATCTTAATAAAATTTTCAACTTCTTTCAAATTTTACCTTAAAAACTTGAGGCATGCCATTTACTGAAATGGTTTCCCTGGCCAATATCTTTTGAATATCTGGCATCAGGGGGAATTCTGGAGAAAGGACTGAAAACTGGCTAAGGCAGCAAAAAGGCAATTGATAGGTGTTACTGGGGTAGGGGAGTTAGACATTGTTCAAATCCTGTACGAATTCTTTTATTGCCAAAAAGGAATTCCAGGAATGAAGCAATTCTGGAAGCGAAGTGACTAGTCATTCTGAAGGTAGGAGAGATTAGGAGAGGGGAGGAAAAAAAAAAAGACTTCAATGATAGGGTGGTAAGGTCATGGCCATGCTGCTCTGAATGAAAAGTGTTGGTGGTGCCGAACCGGTTTGGCTCAGTGGATAGAGCGTCGGCCTACGGACTGAGGGGTCCCGGGTTCGACTCTGGTCAAGGGCATGTACCTTGGTTGCGGGCACATCCCCGGTTGGGGGCATGCAGGAGGCAGCTGATCGATCTCTCTAATCAATGTTTCTAGCTCTCTATCCCTCTCCCTTCTTCTCTGTAAAAAATCAATAAAATATATTTTAAAAATATTAAAAAAAAAAAAAAAAAGAAAAAGTGTTGGTAGTGCCACCTGATTTAATATTCCATGTCTGCCTAATATTGCCCATGAGTGACCTTCTGTCCAGTGTCTAGCAAATTGCTTGCAGAGAATTAAAAAAAAAAGTGTTTTGTTTTTTTTTTTTAAGAAATTCTTCTGATTATAATTAGTCGAAGGAAATAGAATGGTAAGACAATGCTGATTACCAAAAAATGAGCTCTTCACCCCTAGAAATGGTGAGAACACATCTTTTGTGGGTAAGGCAGGGTCTGGTAGAGAGGTTTCAGAATCAATGGGACAGTGTGTGATTATAAACGTTCCTCTTGCCTATGTGTCACAGATAAGATACAGGAAATTACCTTAAAGAGAAGAAGACTGTTCACTCTGGCGTTTTAAAAGGCTCCATTAATGTTATCTATGCCCTGTGCTACTGGTTCCAATCATAGGAACACAGGGTAGCTCACTTGAATTAGATATTCTAGGTATTTGTTGTTCACATTAGCTCATTCTCCTGAAGTGTTGTTTTGGATATCAACTGTAAATGGTTTTCCCATATAATAAATTAAGGCTACACATATTTATATTATTTTCTCTTCAAATAGTTAACATTGATTTTACACTCAAATTGAATTTCTGGTCTGATCAATAAAAATGATTTTCTCTTTATTCAGTTTCTTCTTAAGGTGAAGAAAACTCTTTGTAAATGTCCTAGAGAAATATAGTAGCTTTCTGTTCACACTTCGCAAGTAAAAAGGGTGGATTGTTCCACTACTGACATATATAAAAAAAAAAAAAAAAGATTTTCTCAGAGGACACATATTATTGGCAACTTATCAATGATAACAATGAAATATAATAACAAAATGTTGCTAAGACCTCTGGTATTTAAAAATCAGACTTGATTAATGTGACTTATAATAATATAATTTAGTTCTATCTCAAATGACATTCAGGAATTTTAAGTTATACAATTCTGAAATTAATGTTT